GAAGTTCTCCGAATGGAGGTTCAAGTTATGGAGCGTGTCAATGGAAAATTTTTCTGTGATATATTCCATAAAGGACAAACAGATAAAATTACGTTTGTCTCTTAAAAGCTTTCTTAAAAACTTGGTTTTTTAAAGGTTTATTGTGATTACACTTTTGGGAAAGCCGTTGGACGACATTCGAAGAGCGCAGCCAACAAGACGTTTCTCCAAACCAACTACATTGAAAATTGGGTTGCAAATGATAAAAGTAAAGGAATCGAATAATTAATTGTGGATATTTTTTTGTTTTTCAGGCCTTTAAGAAGCTTCACTATGTAGGATACATCCATAGAGACGTTAAACCTGCAAACATAGCACCAGGCTATCACCATTCTAATATGCTCTATTTGTTTGATTTTGGGCTTTCTCGCTATATCTTCAAACCTGACGGTCCAGGTCATTTGAGACCAGCTAGAAGTAAAGTAAGTGATTGAGAAAGCTAAAACAGAAAATATTTTGTGCCTTTAAGGTCCCTTTCCGTGGCACCTACCGTTACTGTTCCATCAATGCGCATATGTGTAGAGACCAGGGAAGAGTGGATGATCTTTGGGGGCTTTTGGTAAATTTTAAATGAAAATTCAAAATTGTGTTTTTAATCTATTTTAAAGTACTCTCTCGTCGAACTTTGTGCAGGAACACTTCCTTGGACTGGTATGAAACAAGTCGAGAGCCTGAGTGTTAAAACGGGGATTACAGACGATGAACTTTTCGTGGTAGGCAAATTTACCAAAAACTAAAATTTATTTTTGAATTTTTAGGATTGTCCTCGTTCCTTCAAAAAGGTCAAGAAGAGGCTCAATCAATACAAATTCGAAGATCTACCAGACTACGACACCCTTGTATTGCTGCTTTTTCGTGAAATTTATGCTCTTGGAAGAGAAAAGCTTCTGTCTGAGCCATTTGAATGGCAAGATCATCCGGATGTTATGAATCCGTTCAAGCAGATAAAGCGTTCCAAAGAGGAAGTAAGAAATTTGGAATGTTTAATTTAAAATTTATTTTTGTTTTAAAGGAGGACGAGGATACTATAGGTACAGTCGAGAGTGAGTATGACAGCGATTATGGGGGAGGGGATGGAACCAATACAATAACTGTGGACGATAACACACTTGATGACCTTAATGATGAAAACTTGAAAGAACAATCTAAAATTTGGGAGGAGCAAAAGAAATTGAAAAAGGCGGCCGCTACATCTGCGGTTAAAATTGAAGAGAAGAAAACGAGTAAAGAAGACGTCAAGATTCAACAAAAGCCACAGGTGGAGCAAAAGCCATTAGTGAAAGAAGTAAAAGAACAGAAGCCGCCCGCAAAAATAAAGCCATTGGTGACGGAACAAAAGTCTCCAGCGAAAGTGCAAAAGCCATCGGTCAAGGAGAAAAAGCCGCCAGAGAAAGGACAGAAGCTATCGGTCAAGGAGAAGGATAAAAAGCCATCACCAAAAGGACAAAAGCTATCGGTGAAAGAGAAGGAGAAGAAGCCTTCAGAAACAGGGAAGAAGCTATCAGTCAAGGAACAAAAAAATTCACCGAAAGGACAAAAATCATCGATTAAAGGGCAAAAGTCGGCAGTGAACGAGCAAAAGAATTCAGCAAAAGATCAAAAGTCGTCGTCGATTAAAGGACAAAAACCCAAAGTTTTATTCGAGGGAAAAACCAAAGGAGCGGGAAAATCAAAGAAATAACAAAATTGAAGAAATATATTAGATAATTAGATTATTATTAATTAATGTATGTATTATTTGTTATTTTCTCGTTTATTTTGTATATATTTAAATGTGTATTTTTATGAAATATTGATGATCATTGTTCTAGCTTTAATATCTCATATGTATGTAATAAATATATAAAACTATTAATTAGATTACTTACATAAATCTTAAATTAAATTACTTAAAATACTTGAATTAAGTAATTAAATTATATATGTAACTAACAGAAATTTCGGGATTTTTCCGATTCTGGAATTCTGAAAATCCAGACGGAAAACTGGATTAATAGCGCCGTTGCTTTTACCTCCAATATTTTTTAAAAGTACTACTCGGGCTTGAAACGAGATCTGTGAGCTTAAAAAAATTCGGAAACTGAAGAAAAGTCGGATCTTTCTTAAAAACTTTAAACAAATACATAGAAAGGTACACTCCCCCCACAAAATTGAAAAACCCCACTTTGAAATTTTTTTTTGTTTTAAATTCTCATTTTGGGTTCATTCGAAAGCCTTTAAAATTTGCTATATGATAGCGTAAGCTTTATTTTCTAGAAAAATTATTTCAGTAAGTTACAAAGTTTAAAATTTCTAAGGCACAAAAAAACGAAAATTGAGTTAAATGCTTTTCATCTTTAAAAATAACATTAATAAAAAATTGCTTAAATTTATTATATTTAAGCAGTAAGAGTTTAACTGAAAAAATGATAAAAAAAACTTAATATTAAATGTTTTCAAAAATATTTAATAAATTAACAGGTTTTAACCATTTAAAAATGCTTTAACTTTTATAAAACAAAAATAGGTAATTTTTAATTGAAAGCCAAGATATAGAAAAATATTTTTAAAAATATTTTGGTATCAGATAAATTAAATTTTCGTTCTCTTCCTCACAGCTTTCATTTTTGTTATTTTAATGCAGGAAAATATCAATGGTTTGGAAAATTATAACCAAAGATTACAAATTTTTTTCATTTAATAATACATTTACAAAATCACGAAGAAACGAAGAAATACATACAATCTACACATAATCTCTATACTTTACTTCTTTGGCACTCCCGTTCCCTTAGTTTTTCCCTCGAATTTCACCTGCGGCTTTGTTCCTTTTGCCGGCTTATTTTTGCCATTTTTCTCTTTATTCGCACTTCCCCCAGCCTTCTTTAGCTTCTTCTGTTCCTCCCATATTTTAGTTTTGTCCTTCAGATTATCATCGTTGAGGTCATCAAGAGTGTCATCTACAGTTCTTGTATGTGTTTCTGTATCCCCTCTACTTTCAATGCTGTCATATTCGCTTTCGACTGTGCCTATTGTATTCTCCTCGTCCTTTAATAGAAAGGAATTTTATTAAAGGGAATTTTAAAAGGGAATTTACTTCTTCTTTGCAACGCTTTGTATGGTTGAACGGGTTCATATCCTCCGAGCGCATTTGCCATTCGAATGGTTCTTTAAGAAGCTTCTGTTCCCCAAGAGAAAAAATTTCTCTGTAGAGCATCATTAGAAGAGTATCGTAATCTGGCTGGTCTTCGAATTTGAATTGAGCGAGCTTCTTTTTGACCTTTCTGAAGGAACGAGGACATTCCTAAAGATAAAAAGTTTTTTATTTTTAGTCTTTTCCTTCAACTACCTGGAAGAGCTCATCGTCTGTGATGGCGGTTTTGATACTCAGGCTTTCAACTTGCTTCATACCGGTCCAGGGAAGTGATCCTGTGCATAGCTCGATGAGAGAGTACTTTAAAATGAGAGAGACTTTAAAACAATTTTCCTTCAAAATTTACCAAAAGCCCCCAAAGATCATCCACTCTTCCCTGGTCTCTACACATGTGCGCATTGATGGAGCAATACCGATATGTTCCACGGAAAGCAACCTTAAAGGCACAAAATATTTTCTGTTTTAACTCTTTCCCAATCACTTACTTTACTTCTAGCTGGTCTCAAATGACCTGGGCCGTCAGGTTTGAAGATATAACGAGAGAGACCAAAATCAAACAGATGAAGTAACTCTGGATGGTGATAACCCGGAGCCATATTTGCAGGTTTCACATCTCTGTGAATGTATCCTGCATGGTGGAGCTTTTTGAAGGCCTAGAATTTTAATAAGACAGGCTTTGATTCTAAAAAGTTTTCCCCTTACTCTTATCATCTGCATACCAATCTTCATTGCTGTAGGATTGCTGAAGCGTCTTCCAGCCTGTGCCCGCCGAATTTCGTCCAATGGTTTCCCCAACAATGTCATTACGATAAACCTTTAAAAAACGCGTTTTTAAAAAAGCTTTTAGAGACGAACGTAATTTTCTCGGTTTGTCCTTTATGAACAATATCACAGAAGAACCTTCCAGTAACATGCTGCATAACTTGGAGCTCCATTCGAAGAACTTCGTCATTACGGTTTTTCTGCTTCTGTTCAACCTTCATAGCATAGAAAGAGCTTTGCTAAAATTAAAGTGACGTTTGTTTGTCATTAGAATGATGGAATTTATTACCTTATTATTCCTGTCCTGAACACAGTAGACTTGACCAAAAGAGCCTTCACCAAGAACACTGATGACCCTCCATTTGTCAATAAACTCTGGAACATTTGACATCTTTATAAAGCAGCCGACGACAATAGGGAAGAACAAGTATTGTGTTTAGTTGTTGAATGCTTGGTTGAGTTTTTAGCAACAGGTTTTTATAGTAAAATTATGGAGTAAATTTAAAATTACCAAAAATTCATTAAAATATAAAATTTATGTGAAGTATGTAACAGTACATTACAAAATTTTATCATTAAGATGTACAACTTGGTTTGGAAATTCTTTCGGAAATATAGCTTTTCTAGTGGGTGATCGAGACTAATGCTTTTTCCAAAAAACCGATTTTTGGTTTTCAGAGTTATTTTTGTATTATGGTCATTTAGTTAGAAGAAAAGGGGATTTTTAAGTAAATTGAAGTTGGACGTCTATATCAACATGGAATGAAATTAAATTACGAATGAGCTTATTTAATCTGTTGATCAGTATATTATCGACCGAAGAGATCTCACAATCAGATTTCATATATTAAAATACAGCCAAAGAAAATGATAGACGTTAACGAAAAAATAACATTTTTAAGACTATTTTTAGTGAGACTAACGTTCGTAGTATTTGGTCTAGCTGTGCAGAATGTGTTTTCTAATCGGAATCAAAATTAAGTACTTCTTAAAGAGGATGGGAGTTATTCTCCATATGGAAGTTGGTTTAGCCAATCAAAATTCTATCATTTGAGAATAGTGAATTTGTGACATGTGTGTTAATTAACAATTTATCGCCCTCTATGAACATAAAATATTACAGAATGTGGTTTTTAGATACATATATGCACTATTTACATATATCTGTAATTGTTTACAGAGGTTTTGATAGCATCAAACTTCTTTTCCGTAAGTCGGACGATCCACATTTCCGGCAATTTTTCGATTTTTCTGATACACGAGCATAACATTTCCTTTAGATAAATTGAATTTTTTAGCTTACAAAATTTTACAATCAAATTAATACCCGGATAAAATTTAGGACTACATACATATCCGTATGTGACCGCGAATATTCGTGGAAAACGAGGGGGACAAGGATCTCCCATCAAAATGGTCATGTAAGGGTTAGTATTGCGGATATGGCCATTATATCTGTATCCACGGATATTGTCCGTATACATATTCATGCCTGTTTTTATTAAAATTATCAAAATAATTGCCTGCATATTAGTTGTATCCAAATGTAGTTTTTGGCTAGTTGGACTAGCTTTGGATCTGTTCGATCATATGCACCTCCGCCTCGAAGTAAGAGACTCAATTGCAAAGTAGAATTTGGCAATAGATTCAAATTCGCAATTGAGGCATTGTCATTTTTTAGTTCTCGGCTTTGATAAGACTAAAAATGTTATAAGGATTTTGAAAGGAATATTAATGTGATGTAGGTTTAAAAATATATACATACAATTATTTGTTCTTCTACGGGAACATGCTCTTTCTGTTGAATTTGTAATTTAATCTTTTTGAGGGCATCACTGGGACTTGCCTCCACAGTTATTGTTTTGCCGTTGAGATTTCTGACAAAAAACTGCATTTTAAATTAAATTTAAGAAAACTGAAAGTAAAATGTTAATATTTTCTGTTTGATTTTGAAAAAAGAGCTTTAATGAGTAACTGATTTCTTAACGCTAAAGGAAATGCGCTTATATAAGGGCCGACCATAAGCAAACATATGAGATATTTCGCAATGTCCATTGAGAAATAATTTTGTCTTTAATTTATAATTTACCTCGCAAATGAGATTTCGAAATAAGTTTTTTGCAATTCACAATTGAGTGTAGAGAATGTGTGATGAAATAATATGAATAATAAAAGAATGAAAAACATGTGAGAATAAAAATATTATTAAACGGCATAAAAAGCCGCAAATAAGGTTGGGGGTTTTGTATATCCGGAATAGAAAAAAGTCCGATTTGGTGAAATAGAAAAAAAAATAAAATTATCTTGGAGTGATTTAAGCAGTAAAAATTTCTAATTTGAAAAAATTCCGGGATCCAGTAAAGGGTTAGAATTTTGAGCGAATTTTATAAAATATTCTGTGTTTTTGTCCATTTCTGTCTTCCTAAAAGGCCGCAATTGTAATTCACCCCAAACTTCCAAAGTTTAATTAAAGTTTCGAAATTTCGAAGTTTTTTCGTATCTTAGAAACATTTCATTCTATCCAAGTTTCGGCGTTTTTAATTTACAAAATAAAAGCATCAACTTGCCCTTAAACTTTCTTAAAAATTTAGGTGACATTTTGTACATTTTTTTGTTTTTGTCTTTTTCTTCCTTTGAATTTTTATTTTCATGATTTCATAAAACCTTTCATAATTTTTAAAAATACATATTTCATAATCTTTTTATTTATTTATTTAGAATAAAAAAATGTCTTTCGGACCTGTTCGTGTTTTAAAAGCTAATGCACAAGAAGAACGAGGGGAAATTGCTAGAATTTCTTCTTTTGTTGGGGCTACGGCAATCGGGGATTTGGTTAAAACAACACTTGGACCTAAAGGAATGGTTTGTTTTTGGTTTTATTTAGAATTTGTTTAATTAAAATTTTTTAGGACAAAATCTTGGTCAGCGGTTCAGGGGACGGACAAAACGTTCAAGTAACTAATGATGGCGCAACTATTTTAAAATCTATTGGTGTTGATAATCCTGCAGCAAAAGTGCTTGTTGGTATGTTTTTTGGTTATTTTTCACCCTTCCTCCTAACGTTTGCTAATTTTAATTTAAAAGATGATTTTTGGTTTGTAAGTTCAGTATTTCGTTTTCGGTACACTACAGCTTCGAAACCTCCAACTTTTTTTCGCATCTTGGAAAGCATTTCATTTTTTCTAAATTTAGGCGTTTTTAATTTAATGTAAGGATATCGCACGTCCAATTAATTTTTGATCTCTAGTCTTCTTGGTAATTCCAAATTCTGTTCCCCCCCCATATTCAATAAAAAGATTAGACCCTTTAAATTGTCTCTTTGTATATTTAATTTTTAAAAATAATTTTTAGACATTTCCTTGACTCAAGACAAAGCTGTAGGGGATGGAACAACTTCCGTAACAGTTTTTGCTGCTGAACTTTTGAAGGAAGCTGAAACAATGATTGGACAACGAATTCATCCTCAAACAATAATTTCTGGTTATCGAAAAGCTTTAAATGTTGCAAAAGATGCTTTAAAAAGTGCTGCTTATACATCAAAGTTTGCTTTAAATTTTGTTTTCAGATTTAAAAAATGTCCTTTTTTAGTCAAGAACAATTACGTGAAGATTTAATGAAAATTGCAAAAACTTCTCTCGGCTCAAAAATTCTTTCCCAACATTCTGACCATTTTGCCAAATTGGCAGTTGAGGCAGTTCTTCGTTTAAGTGGAAAAGTTTCTCTTGATTCAATTCAAGTAATCAAAAAATTGGGCGGGTCAATGGAAGATTCTTATTTGGATGAAGGTTTTTTGTTGGAAAAGAGAGCTGGAATGTATCAACCACAACAAATTACTGACGCGAAAATTTTGATTGCAAATACTCCTATGGATACTGACAAGGTTTTTGTAAAATAATTTTAAAAATATAAGTTGGAAACCTATTCACTTATAATTTTATTTTAATTAAAAACAGCCAAGTTAAAGCTCAACCGCTTCAAAAGTCCAAAACTTTGAAGCCCTATAACTTTTCGAAATGGGGATTAGGGGAAGAAAAGCCAGGTATAGGAAATAGGCTATCGACCATGCTTTACACGATGGTATAATTTTTTGAAAAAAATTTTTGGTCACGGTTCGGAAGGTTCCCTTGTAAACAGATAAGGACTTACATAAAGCAGGGTAACGCATAGACTTGTATTCGTAATATTAACAGGAATATAAAAAATAAACATAAATTCTCTTTTTCAGATAAAAGTCTTTGGAAGTCGTATAAAGGTCGATTCGATTGCTAAAATTGCAGAATTGGAATTAGTTGAAAAAGATAAGATGAAGGAAAAGGTTTGTTTCTTTTTTAAATTTTTAATTAAAAATTAAAAAAACAATTTTTTAGGTTGAAAAAATTTGTGCTCACGGAATTAATGTATTTATTAATCGTCAATTAATTTACAATTATCCTGAACAATTATTTGCTGATAAACATGTTATGGCTATTGAACACGCTGATTTTGAGGGAATTGAACGGCTAGCTTTGGTTTTGGGTGGAGAAATTGTTTCTACTTTTGATACGCCGACAGATATTAAATTGGGAAGTTGTAAATTAATTGAACAAGTTACTATTGGAGAGGATATGTTTTTACGGTTTTCTGGTGTTCCTTTAGGTAAAAAAAAGTTTTTTCATACTTTTTATTGAGGATGGTTTTTTCTAAAGTTTTTTTTATTTTTTTAATTAAAATATTTTCCTTTTTTGATTAATATATTATCCCCTCCCATCACTTTACTCTGAAATATTTTTAATTTTACTGAACAACCAAACTTAAAAAAATAGAACTTTTTGAATTTTTAATTATCAAAAGTTTAATTCATTCCTTTAAAACTTTAATTTTCTTTTAAGGTCAAGCCTGTTCTGTTGTACTTCGTGGGGCTACACAACAAATTTTAGACGAGGCAGAGCGTTCATTACACGATGCACTTTGTGTTTTAACAACTCATGTTCGTGATAAACGTGTTGTGCCTGGGGCTGGGGCTTCTGAAATGTTGACAGCTACAGCAGTTATGTCAGAAAGTCAAAAGGTAGGAGGAATAGTAAATTGAAGAAAAATTAGTTTTTTTTTAAAAGGTTCCCGGCAAAGAATCTTTAGCAATGGAAGCATATGCTCGTGCATTAATTAAATTGCCAACAATAATTTGTGACAATGCTGGTTTGGATAGTGCTGAAATTATTTCTCATATTAGAGCAGCACATGTTAAAGGAATGCATAATATTGGAATTGGTTTGTTGATTTTTATTTTTTTAATTTAAATTTGTTTTTAAACTTCAAAAGATACTAGGTGGGGGCAGGGGGAGGGATTCACGAGTCAAAAACCTTTTCTTTCCTTTATTCATTTTCTACATGTATTTTTGTGATTTTTTGAGATTTTTTGTAAAAAATCCTCCCTATGAGAACTCTACTTTCTGATCTCTTTTACACATTATTTTTATCCATTATTAATTGTTCTAAACATGAATCATCTTTAATTAATTAATTTATTTTTCCAGTATATAAATATTTATAGAGAATTATATTTTTTTATTAAATTAGATGTTGAGAATGGAACAATAGCAGATGTTTTGGAAATGGGTGTACTTGAATCCCATGCAGTAAAATTGGGAGTTATTGCAAGTGGAACAGAAGCTGCTGAACAAGTAAAAAATTTAAAAAAATTAAATTTATTTTTGGAAAACTTTTTTTCTTTTTTTATCAGTTACTTCGTGTTGATTGCATAATTAAATGTGCTCCTCGTCCACGGACCAAAGATCGTCGTCCGTGTTAATTGATTTTATGGAAGAGTTATAGGGAAATTATGATGATTTTTTTTCTGTCGCGGCTTGACTTTAAAATTAAAAAAGAAAATTTTTGTTGAATTATTTTAAAAAGTAATAAAAAGAAAAATACTTGCTTATCTCAACAAACTCAAAAAATGTTTTGTTTTTGAATTTTTTACATTATTGCCGATTTTATTAAATGTTGATTTTTTTGCATTTTTTCGATGAATTTTGATAAAAATTGTTGTTAAATTAATTTTTTAATATTTGTTTATATTCGTTATTTATCCGAATTTTTATTTTAAATTTTTTCTTGGATTTTTACTAATATAAAATATTTTTTTAGAATCTCTATTAATTGGTGGACTTTCCTTAATATAATTATGTAGGTTGTTAAAAATTAAAAAAAATTTTTTTGAAATTCTTGCAGGTCGACCTTTCTCTTCCGTTCACTTTATTTGGCATCAATTCCAATTGTTTTTATTGCTCTTATAGTTCCGGCACTTTTTTATTTTTTCCCTTCAATAATGCAACATGTCTTCTTTCTTAATTTTGGTTTATTTTTTCAAATAATTTTTTAATTTTTCAAAAATATTTCTATAGTTCGATTCCCTTTTGTTGATTATTACGATCTTCAAAAGCATGGAGTTCGTGGTCGTGGCCGAAATTTTTACTTGCATGTTGGGGATTATTTGGGAATTAATAAAGCAGATGGAAACAATGATGCAAATAAAGAAAATAAAAGTTTGTTTATTTTTTGTAAAATTTTGTAGGAGTGCTGTTTGTGGGTTGGAAAGCTTTTTTAATTCCTAATATTTTTCCTGACTGTAAATCGAAGTCATTTTCCTGACTTATCGGGTGAGGGGCAAAACGAGGAATTCCAAAACACGCAACGACCAAAATACCAAAACACGGTCCAGGGAAATTATAATTTTGTACTGCCCCTTCCATTAGTATGCCCTCTCTAATAGTACTGCCTTTAGGGGAGGATTTTAGCCCTAAACGGACTTATCTTCCAATATTATTTCTGGACATTCTAAAAATTATTTTTTTAATCTTAAAATTTCATTTTTAGCCGAAACAACAATTCCAACCCAAATACATCCAATTCTCGGTGTTTGGCATGTATTACCTTCCGAATTATCTTCTCAATATGACAACAAAATTAAAGAAACTAAAATTGAGAAAATTGATGAAAAAGAATTGGAACGTTCTTTAGACGAACATTCCCACGGATTATTTATTTATTTTCATGGAAATTCTTTTGATAGGAGTGCAGAACATCGTTGTGAACTTTATAATATTTTGTCGGCTATGGACTTTCATGTTTTGACAATTGATTATCGAGGTATTTTGGAGGTTTTTATTTAAAATTTAGGTAATACTGAACCGGACAGACCCCCTTTTTTCCTCCCCAATTTCCCCCTATATTTTTGTACTTGTTATAAAATAAAATATTCCTTTTTGTTTGATTGTAGGCAAAAATTAGAAAGGCAATTTGGATGGAAGAAAGGAAAAAGTCTTGCCATTTTGCAAAAATATAGGGGAAAAATGGGAGGGGGAAGGGGGTCTGTCCGGTTCAATATTATCAAAATTTATTTTCAAAAAAGGTTATGGTGACTCTTCTGGACAACCAACTGAGGATGGATTAAATGCAGATGCTCATGCTATTTATCATTATGCACGAAAACATGCTCCAACAAAAGATATTTATATTTGGGGACATTCTATGGGAACTGGTATTTAAAAGAGAGAGTTTTTTTAAATAATTATTTTGTTTAGGAGTCGCTACTCGTTTAGCTGCTGAATTAAGCGATGCTGGAATGCCTCCAAAAGCTCTTGTACTTGAATCGCCTTTTAACAATTTACGTGATGTTGTGAGAAATCATCCTTTTAGTTTGCCATTCCGACGACTTCCCTGGTTTGATTGGACGGTTATTCATCCATTGATTCGTTCAGGGTTGGTAATGAGCTCTGACAAACGTGTTCAAAGGTGAAATTTTATTTAAATTTTCAAAAAAATATTTTCTTCTTTTTAAAGAGTTACTTGCCCAATTTTGGTTTTACATGCAGAAGATGACCATATAATTCCAATAGATTTGGGCAAAAAGTTGGTTGATTCTGCTGTGTCAGCTGACAGAAAAGTTAAATTTGTCAAGTTTGCTGGAGACCGTGAATTTTTACATAAATTTATTCATCGAGCCCATGAACTTCCAAGTGTTGTTAGGTAGGGGGTTTTTAAAAATAAAATGATTAGACAGTCAATTATTTTTCTTTTTTTTAGAACTTTCTTAGAAGATGCCCAGCTACCAGAAAAAGGTAAAGGTCGAACACCTCGTTATTCGGAAGAGGAAATACAAATGGTGGAAGAAAATTGACAAAAAATTTTTTAAGAAGGAAGTAAACTTTCCAATCCCAAATTAATTAAAAGATAAAATTAAGAGACCAAATAAATAATAATTTTTTTAATTTTGCCTTTTTTAGCTTTTTTTTCAAATTTTTTGCCTTTCTTTTTAAATTTTTAGTCAATAAATAATTATTCTTAAGGCATTAATTTTAAGTTTTAATATTGTTCTGTTCTGATTTTTAAATTTTTATTTTAATTTCCCAACAGAGTTAGAGAATTTATTTATTTAATAATTTTTTTAATATGGTTACAAAGAATTGGTTCAATTACTGAAATTTTTGTTTCTTTATTATCGTCCTTTTTAATGGGTAAAATCCCTCTCTTATTTTTCTAACTCCGTTTTTTGACCTTTAAAGTAGCCATTCTCTGAATTTCATTTATAATTTTTTTTAATTCTAAATTCATTACGGCATTTAATTTTAATTTCCTAAAATTTTTGTTTTTAAATAATATTTTTGTAAATTTTTAATTTTGATCAGTAATAAAATAAATTTCAACAAAATTCTTTAGCAAAATTCTTTCACAACAGAAAAATCAAAGACTTTATCAAAGCTTGAAAAATAATTTTAATTATAACCTCTTAAACTTACAATTAGTTTATCTCTCTTCTCTCAAGTTCAATAGTAAATTTAGACAAAACCCTATTACTCCCCCTTCTATAATAATTAGAATTTTCCCAACTATTTGATCAATTTTTTTGGTTATTCTTTCTTCTACTTATTTCTACTCATTATTTTTTTCTCTCTAATTTATTTCTTTTATATGCCTGTTCCGATTCTTGTCCTGTTTCTGTCCTCCAAATGTCCTACTATTAAAATACACAATACTTAGTATATGCCATTATTTCTCCAAAATTCTCTCTGCTTTTTTTGAAGGAGTTGTGCACTTTTCCTTTCATTTTTCTTTTTATTTTTTCTAATCTATAAATAACAGCTTTCATTTGGTTGCGGATGCCGTTGACCTAATTTTTTTTATATAGAAAGGGATTGAACGCCCGAATTTTTACTTGGTGACGAGTGAATGGCAAAAAGAAAATGGTTGCGAAAAATTGCTAAAAACGCCACAAAAAGTGCAAACCCTGAAAGGGAAAGGGAAAGAAGGATTTTCTCTTTTTTTTGTGTGCTCCAATAAAATTACATACCCCCCCCCCCTCCCTTCCACCCCCCCCTCCCCCTCTATCCCCCCCCCTCCTCCTTCTACTTTCCACGATAAGTAAATGACATATATAGTGCCCTTGTAAAGGAGAGAAAGAAGTGATCCAGAAAAACTAGAAATTGGTTAAAAAAAGAGAAAGTTTTTTTAAAAAATAAACGCGCGTAGCGATGACCCAAATCCAAAAAATCTTTTTTAAAAACATGCCCTTCTCTAATATATTTTTTAAAAAGAAAAATTTTTTTCTATTATTATTAGCATATGCCACACAATATAAAATAGATGAGTGAGAAATTCTTTTCTTTTTTTTTTTAGTTGTTGCTCCAGATTTTTGTTTGATGATGATGACAACAGAAAGCGAAAGTTCGCAATAAATAAATAAATATATTTTTTATTCTTCTAAATATTTAAAGTGTCATCTAATTTTGGAAGAAAAATAAAAATATTTTTTAAAAATTTTATTTTTTAATTTTTAGTAACAACATAAATATTTTTAACCCCCTTACCCTTTAATTAAAAAAATGGCTTCATCCCTAACACATTCCCTTGCCGCTGCAGCTCATCATAGGCATGGACATACTTCGCCTGACTCATTTTCTACTTCATCAATTGTTTGTTTTTTAATTTTATTATGAAATTAAGCTTTGTTTAAATGGACCTCATAAAAGTTTTTAGAGTTCTTTGAATTGTTCTTTGTATTTTGTTTTGAAGTTTTAATTAGTATACATCCTTTACTAGAGCTTTTATTTACTTCATTCTTTCCTTAAATCTCTGAATCATTTTAAGTCTGGATTATTTTTGACATCTCAAATCTCTGTCTTATCTCTTATCGAATTCTTATCTCGTCACCTTCTAACATATTCTTTTTTCTATTTTCGTTTTTGGGAAGATTTAGCTTTGGAGGGAATATTATACAATTTTCTCTTTATTTCCGGTTACCTAAATAATTTTCAAAAAAATTTTTTTAGCATTTCCATGCTTTGGATTTAAGTAAAAACAACACCAATACTTTAAATACTTCTTGTACAAACACAAAAGATTCTTCATCATTTATCCCAAATTTATTAGTACAACAACAACAACCAACATTAACAATACCTCCTCTACCTCCCCCTCAACCAACTTCTTTAATTATTCCTCAACAAAAACAACAAATTATTTATCAAAATTTATTTTCCACCAATAATTCTTTAATTGGAAAAAATATTTTTGGAAATTCTGTTGAGGAACAAATGCAGGCAGTAGCTAATGTTTTGTTGGGAGGAGGAGGAAATGGAACTTTTCAATTACAAAATGTTGTTAATAAATGTCCAAAATTGTTATCAGAATTTATTAATACAACAAGAGAACCTTTAATTAATTCTTTGGCATTTTTACAATCAACGGAAACTTCTTTGCCGCAAATGGTAAAAGAATAAAAAATAATTTTGAATATTGTCTGTTGACCTTATTTTTGTTTATACACCCTTGGGTAGAAATCAGAAAAAAAATCAGAGGTGGGTCGGAATAGTCCGAGGTGTTGGAAATAGGAAGAGCCGGAAATCGGGACTGGCTCAAAAGTCGGAACTTGGAAATCGGAAATTAAAATTTTTTTTCGGAAATCGGAATTCCGACCCACCTCTGGTAGAAATATTGGATTTAAAATTAAGTGTATTGAGTGAGGGTCTCTCTTATTGTTAGGCTAATCAACTCCTTACATTGAGGAGTAGGGTGTATAAGGTTCGACTGAATTGCTTGAAAAAATATTATTTTTTCAGTCAATGATCACTAACGATTCGTTATCATCCTCCTCTTCTTCTTCCAATTCATCTGGACTAGAAAGTGATGGCCAAGCAAGTAGTAATTCCCCAATATCAGCAGTAACAGCAACAAACAACAAAATATTAATTAATGACAACAACAACAAAAAAGAAGAAAATAAAAATTTGTCAAAAATAAAAGAAAAACAAGAAAATAATAAGGAATTTCAACAATTTCAACAACCAAAAAATTTAATTAAAAAACAATTAGTTAGAGATGATGCTTATTGGGAGAGAAGACGTAAAAATAATTATGCTGCTAAAAGAAGTAGAGATACAAGAAGGCGTAAAGTTAGAGCTTTAAAAAATTAATTAATTGACTGGAAAAAAATCAGAATTTTCTGAAAAATTATTAAAAATTGTATTTTCTTAGGGAGATTTCTGAATTGTGTTTTTCAGAAAAGAATTCCGGAAAACACAAAAGAGAATTATCAGAATTGTAACCAGAATTTCATGTTCCGGAAACAAATTATTGTTTATATTTCTGGATCAGAATTCTGGGTTGTGTTTTCCGAAAAAAGAATTCTGATTATAATTTTAACCAGAATTTTGAACTGTACATATGTATTTTCCGGAAAAAGAATTAAAGATTGTTCTCCTTGAATTTTCGAATTCTAATAAAGTTATACACTTTCTTTACAAAATTCCGGACTGTATTTTTACGGTCAAAAAAAATTTTTTAAAATTAACTCATAAAAAATAAATTATAGGAAGATGAAGTAGCTGTGCGTGCAGTTATTTTAGAACAAGAAAATCTGCGTTTACGTTTCGAACTTGAAAGACTTAGAACAGAAATCGAGCGTTATAGAATTGTTGCATTTAGTCAAGGAATAGCAATTCAACAACAAACAACAACAAAAAATAATCCTAAAAAATCAGAATTTTTTATTTCTGGCCAACAAAATGGACAAATAGATTCGAATTAAATTTAAAGTTAAATCTTGATAGGAGTAAGACTAGAAAAATTATTTTTAATTATTTTTAACTTTCAATGTGCAATTAATTAACTTTAATTAATTAACTTCAATCAATTAACTTTCAATGTGCAATTAACTTTTTAATGTGCAATTTAATTATTAAAATTCAAAGATTAATTTTGTTATATGTAAACAAATGTAATGACTAGGGCCTCACAAAATATGCACTAAAATATGCAGCAGCGAAAATGTGCCTTAAAAATCAAAATTTTAAGTAAAAAATGCTAATTTAGCCTTTAAATTGCAATTTAATTCATAAAGATTTTATAGACTTAAAATTTAACCAAAAAAGTTCTTTTAAATTTTTTACTAGACGTTAAGACCTTCCTTTTCAAGTTTTGTTGCAATTTTCTTGCTATTAGATTTAATAATTGGTCTAAATATTCTCTTTAAAAAATGATGTTTAATTACCCAAAATTAAAAGGAGTTAAAAACCCAAAAGCTTCAAAATTAAACATTTTTAATTACATCAAAACATAAAGGCAAATAAATATAGTAAATACGATGTAACATAAATCTATAATAAAATAAAAGGTCTATGATGATCTACAATCACAAAATAATTTATAATCCCGCCAATCAAAATGACGAATCCTGAGAAATATTGAATGGTATCTCAACATGTCCAATTGCAGAAAGACGTTGATTGAGGACAGGAATAAATTCTCGACTAAATTTTTAAAAATAAATACATAATTAAAATATTCACAAAACTCACTAAAATTGGCCAATATTCATTTTAAAAAGCTCTTGCATTTGATCAGCATCAACAAATCGCAGGATACATGACGCAATACGAATTTTTGTTAAATATCCACCGGGAAGACAGGATACATCCTAAAAATAATTTGAACGAATTTTAATAAATTCACTTTAATTCAGTGGGACATTAAGGCTGTCTAAGCGATATTTCCTATTTAGGATAACTCTCACATAGAATGCAATTTTTTCAACTCCATCTAAAAATTACTAGTGTTTCACCGGAGCCGAAATTTTGTACGGAATCGGATCCAATTTTAGTCCCGGTTCCCGGAACAAGAACTCTTCTAAGTTCCGGCCCGAACCGGAACTTCCGAGGAAACTCTAAAAATTACCAACCAATTTCAATTTTCGAGAAATTTCCACAATTTTTTCTTTAGGATTTTCAATTCGTCGCAACAAAGCCACAACACGGATAATCTGCATGTCATCATAAAGCATAGGCAAAACTTTTACATCCAAAGGATCTTCATTATTCGTCATTTGTCCACTACTTCCAGTACCCATAAAATCAATAGTTGCTTCAAGATCTGGAGTAACAATTTGTGCGATGCCACTACCTCCATATAAAGGATCATAACTGCCCGATAGTATCCAACGATCGATTAATTCATTAAAAATATTTTCCTTATTGACAGAATGGATATGTGAAACTTGATCGATGACATAAAAATATTTGTCTTAAAAATAAAATTAAAAAAAAAAGAAAATTAAATTCGTTACCAGAACACTTAACATCTCCCCAATCCAACTTGCTACTACATAAAAGATAAATTATAAGTTCTTCAGGCTTTTGTGTAAGAGCATTAGTTTCAGAATCCAATAACTGATTCTTCTCCAATAAAAATTCAGTTTTTAAAACAGCCAACAATTGACGAAGAGTTTGAGAATTTTGTGTAAACTGATCAACTTCCTTGGGAGAAATTTGTAGTTCTTTGGCATTCTTTGTCCATTTTTGTAAAATATTGCAGCACATATCAATTAAACCAATTTTTGTTTTGCCTTAATTAAATTAAATAAAAAAATAACTTTTAAAAACCTAATGAAATTTTTTGAAATCGTGTTGATAACCCTTTGAGAATGCTAAGACGATTGTGTGACTCATAAATGAGATTCTCCATATCTTCAACATCAACATCTTCAAGTTCACGATTGTATTTGACAATATCTTTTACGTGGGAATTAATAGCTGCAACCAAAAGACTAGTACGGCTGTGTTGGAGAAAGCATTTTGTATTTTCAATAAGTGAGACCCATAACTTAATTTTTACAAATTATTAAAAAAAATATAAATTATTAAAAACCTGCACATTTTTAATAGAAACTTCAGAATAAATAAAAGGCATTTGCCATCTCTCAATTGGCTCCTTTTCCTCTAAAGTAAAAATATGGTATGGCAAACGTTTTTGTGAAGATGGGGGTAAGCTAGCTTCAGTTAAAAGGGACATCTCTTTTTGTTGATTTTCTTGGCCAGCAGAAATTGTGGTTTGATTCAAAACACTTCCACAAGTATCATCAAAAGCTTCAATTGGACCGCTTTTTGTTAGCAAAGAAGTATCCTGAATAAAAATATTTTTGAAATATTCTACATATCTATAAATACTTACAAAATATTTAGGATTCACAAAATGTCTATACCAACGGATTTCAATTGGAGCAACAGAACCTTGTCGAGTATATGCTCTAAATTAAAAAATGTATATATTGTAATTTTTAAAAATTAACTACTCACTTTAAAAATTTGAATAACATATAAGCATCATTAATACGATCTGCAATCTCATCTAATCGAACACCTGACTCCAAAATTTCCTTCATTTTATTTACCAAAATTTCAAGAGCTTCATAATTGTAAGGGCATATATCACGAATAGTTTGATTGATAATTAATAAAGATTTTTCTTCTGCTCGTACATACTGAAAGTTATTTAAAGACTTATAGCATTCTATAACAATCCAACTTTACCTCAAATGATTGTTTCGCTGTTTCAATACACAAAGTAAAACGTTCAGTGTTTGAAGGTCCACTCAAACAAGAAGAGAATTTACAGAGTTCAATACCATAATTTAAAAGAATTGAAGCAGTATCAACACCATTTGTTTCATCACAATATTCTTTCAATATTGACGAGGGTAAAATCAACTTAGCAAATTCAGCACACAAATCAAAAACTGTTTCACGTTTTAATTGAGTATTTCCAAGATTGACTCCCTGTTTGAATAAACGTTTCTGCCATAAAGTTGAGTCAAACCAAGACTAAAATATATAATTAAAATTAATAAAAAGAACATAAAACTAACCGCGACTTGTTTAATAGTAGTTAACTCTTGTGAGGTATATATGAGGACAAACAACGATGCCCTGATGAGATTGAGTGTATAACGGACATTCTTTTTTGTTAAAGCCCATGTTCGAAGATCCTTTAGTGTCTAAATTAAAAAAAAATTTTCTGGTAAAATTTTTAAAGAAATACCTTAAACATATTTGTCTTTGATAAACTGAACAATAAATAAGCAGCCAAATGAAGATCAGCAACAGGAAAGCTAAAAATCTTTTTGCATACATTGAAAATGCGTCTATCAATATCAGTCAAAGCAATTGTGTGAAGTTGTTTATTGGAATTGAAACACGCTTAAAAATAAGTTTAAAAATTTTTTCAATTTTAAAGAATACGTAAAGTATTAGCAAATTGTCTCGCATAAACTTCAAGAAGCACATGTGAATTAGAAAGTAATAAAAACAACTTCTCCCAGCTCTTGCACATTTCTTTAATGTATTCATCTTTTTCAGCACTAAATTAGAAAAATATAAAAATATTTAAAAAATAATGTTAATTAAAATAAATTTAAAAGGAAAAAAATATTACGTATCAACAAACGGTTCAACAACTGAAGCACCAATCGCAGAAATGGCCCTAACCACAGCCAGAGAATCAGTAAATACTCCCTCATTTTGTGGAAGGAAAACGCCCATGCGATGATCAAGTGTATGAATTTGAAATGATGTTCTGAAGTTAGAGAATTAAAAAACAATTAAATAATTAGAATAATAAAAACATACTGTTGCAACTTTTCAACTAAGTTCTTGTTAGGTTCAACGCTCGAGGGCCGAGAAGGCAAATTAGGCATTGCGTCGGTCTCTTTGTTAATTTGATTTAAAATAAATGAAAACAAATTAACGTAGCGAATTATCTAAAAATAAATTTTTAAAATCGGTCATGAATGGCAATATATACAGGAAAGAAAGACTCCGCCAAAGTAATTTCCTCAAGTTGAACAGCCCAATCAACCAGTTTTGGCAAAATTTCTTTAAAACTTGAGATAGTATTAATAGAGTAATCAATCAGTTCATCTCCATTTCCACTTTTAGAATCGTTCCGAATCAAATCAGTGAATTTCCAACAAACATATGTACAAGCCTCCAAAGCATTTTCAATAATTGACTTTTCAGAAGTATGGTAATTGTCCAAAAGATAACTAAAAAATGATAAATGTTGAATAAAATAACATTAACAAAGCACTTACATTAATGATTCCAAAACAGCTTCGGGCAAATTTCTTCGAATTTGAGCACGCATCAAAGTCACACAAGAAGTTTTAAGTGGTAATTCAAGCAGCGTTCCAAATCGAATAACTTCTACGATTGACTTGTCAGAAGATGCCTCGATAAAATCGTCAAGTAATTTGATATTTGCTTCGGTATTTTTAAGACAATTGAAGCCAAGAATAATTTGATGATTATTTTGGAGTTGGCGCAAACTACGCGCAGAACGTATAAGGGCTCGATTATCGGTTGTATCAGGTAAAAAACGCTCCAAAACCGCAAGCAAACAGGAAATCCAAACGGGTCGTCGAATAATTATTTTCTATTAAAAAATATTATCAATTAATTTCCAAAGATTTCACCTTAAGCTTAGACGGCTCCAAAAAGCTTTTTAGAAGAATAACCAATTTTGTCGCTACAGCCTCCATAATCTCTTTAGATTTAATCAATGAAAATAGATCCAACAACGGCTTAATATCATCCTCATAAGTAAATTGACGAACTAATACAATTGCATAAATGTAATAACAATCGATTGTTGATGTTGTTGATTGAAGAAGGTGGTAGATCTCAACAATCTGAATAATAAAAAATAATAAAAATGAGTAAAAAAATAACATACTGCAAAACCATCTTTTAATTTATCAACCATATCATTACTACTATTTATGAAGATAAACTGCAAAAGTTGTTGAACACTTGACGTGGAAATTAATTTAGAACGAGTTTCGAGCGGGATTTGATATTTGATAAAAATTTGTCCCAAGTCAGCATAAGAACATTGTCTACGCAAATAAAATAACCTGAAAATAAAAAAGTAAAAAAGATATTTTTTGAAATTAAAAACAAACAATTTTGGATCGATCCTCTCTTCCTGAGACAAAATATTCTTCACAACAGTACTTAATTGATTATTCCATGGAGGCACTGTTCCAACAGCAATTTCGAGTATAGCACGACATCGGATATTAGAATCGGTAATTTGTTCAGTAATCTTCAGACAGAGGACATCCCATGTGTTTCCACCCTTTTGTGTTGGAACATGACGATAAGAACTTGAGAGATTCTATAAAATTTTTAAATTCATTAATAATTAATCAAAAAACCTTAATATAATTGTAGAGCACTTCATTCTTGTCCAAATAATGTTCTTCAATATATGGAAACACAAATTGTTGAATATAATCATGAATTGATGGAGCAGAGCGCACCCGATCCAACACACGTTGACAAATAGTACCGACATCTTGTCCCTAAAAAATCAAAATTTTATTTTCGAAGTTTAACAAAACATGCCAAATATTCAGAGTAACTCATTGGAATTTGATATTTAGAGAGAATACTTTCAAGTTTAGTCAAGTCACGAAGTAATTTTTTCAGACTTGAAATTGAGGAAGATGAAGGACAATTTTCTTCATCAGCATCTAATTGCTTCAAAACATGAAGAAGAAAAATCTAAAAATACAAATAAAGAATTTTTAAAATTAAAAAATAATTTATATTACATATTTTTCTGGAGTTTGACACTCTTCTTTCAACAATTCAATAGCACGATCAAAAGTTTTAGAAAATTCCAAAGCATTTTTAGGAAATAATTTTGGCTCAATTTCTTCCAAAAGAAGTGAAATAGAAATGAAGAACGAACACAAATCTTCACAAATTTGTTTTGTATCATCCTGTCCAATGTGTAGAAACACGGAAATTAAGTCTGTTTGCATAAATTGGCTGATGTCACAACAAAGAGTTGAATTAGCTAAATTATTTGAAAAATGTTTAAATTTCATAAAAATATTTTCAAACCTTTAATAACATCCCGAAATACATAAAGCAATTTATGAAAAGCTTCCTTATCCATAAGTTTCTGAGAAATATCTGGATAACGTGAGAAGAGTGTGCGAGCCTCGGCAATTTTTCCTTTTTCACAAAAACGATCAAAAAATTCTTTGTGCGTATCACTCGTGTAAAAATTATGCCAGTCAGACGTCCTTGAATAATTAATGTTGTCTTTGTCATAAACGAGACTGAATGATTCGAATTCAAAACGAAGACGTTCAATTTCTTTTAGTGTGTATTCATCTAAATTTTTTTTATAAATTCATATACAGTCATATTCTATTTAAAATATACCGGTAATTGTTAATCCTTTTGCAAACACCAAGATTTCATTAATGTGCGCGAAGCAGTTTAAAAAAGGTAGTGATGCTACAACCATATCGCCAGCCTTAAAACAAAAAAAAATTCTAATTCAAAATTTTTAAAAACCGAATCATTATCAGAAATAAGCTTCAGATTTTTCATCATTTCAATAAAAGTAGCCTCTTCGTAATTTCCATCTTCGGCATTTTGAATTTTTTCCTGGCACTGATGAATGATAGCTTCATATACCAACTAAAAATACGAATAAATGAATGTAAAAAAATTTAATTTAAAATTAATACATCAACAGATAAATTGTAAGTAATTGCAAAAGAGAGTGCATCAGCAAAATACTTCAAATCCAAAAGTCTGTGTAATCGAGTAAGAGGTTGAGAATGATTGACAAAACGAAGGAAAACCATATCGCGACTTAAAATAAATGTTAAATTTTTTTATTTAATTGGAGCTTAATTACCTCTTTGCTGGACAAGCATCCACATAAACAATGCTACTATCATCATTTGGAGTCGAGTATGGAATCATCATTGTGTACTCAGAACAGATTTTACTAAATTGCACATCTTTTTGATTGACTTGGCGAATCATAAACTAAAATTAAATATTTTTTTATTTAAAGAGTGGGTTGAGATCAAAGCTTAAAACCCCCACAAATAATAGACAAAATTATGAATATGTGAAGGAATTATTTAGATGGACTCCAGAAAAATTCAAAAACAATCTGCATAAAAAAAGTACAGAGCATAGACAAGACCAAGCCTAATCTTAGTCAGTCAGATAAAAGCCGTTATTTTAAGATTAATTCGTTAAAATATAAAATATCCCCGTTATTGTCATACATTTAAAAATAAAAAGAAACCTCAACATCATTATTCTTCGTCAAAACTTTAAGTAAAAGCTTAACATCAGTCGCAAACTCGGAGAAATTTTCAACATCCAAAAACTCAAAATCCAAAACATTAACTATTTGTTCGTCTTGTAAAGCCAGAGTATAAAAAAGAAAGTAATTTTCATTGTAAAATTGAAGTTTATTTGAGATTAAAGCAACAACAAAACATCCAAAGTTTTTAACAATTTTGACTGGTTGCTTAATCTTGAAAAGTGATGAGAAACAAGCTACATCTTCCGGATAATTCTTAATTTCTTCCAAATGAATAGAAAGTGAAGTAACCATTCCTGGATCTCGTGGAAACTTTAAAAGAAAAATAAAATATTTTTAAACAACAAAATTTGTACCAAAACAAAATTATTTGTAGAAGAGACGAGAAAATGACATTTAAATTGAAAAGCAATTTCAATCGAACGGACCAACTCGACACCAGAGAAATTGTCACGAAATTCAAGCTCATCACGAATTGAATAGTCAAAAGCCGGAATTGATATGAAATGTAAAACTGATTTTTGACGATCCAGAATACAAGTAGAATAGCCATTTTGAGTTGAAACAGTGCATGTTGAGCAGCTTTCCAGGGGTGGGAAAACGGACTTTAAATTCAAAATAAATTTGCAATCATTACAAAAAACCTGTCTATGCGTGTAGCGATTGTTCGGTGACATAAAAAGAATTGTCCCTTTGCTTAACAAAACCATAAAAACATCTCGATCAGGTAAGAAACACACTTCAACAACATTACCATCCTCTTCTGTCAAAACGCTATGCTTTTCTTTCACTCCCTTCGAATGGTTAAGTCGGCCTTTAGAACTGTCCAAACAAAATTCAACACATCCAACCGAGAGATCAAAGACATGAAGATCAGAATCAATGCTCAAAACAAGCCTAAATATATAAAGGCGTAAAGCAGCTACTAAATAGAAAAGCTTACCAATTATTACGAGTAGCACAAAAAATTTTTGGAGAAACAAAGTCAGAACCCCTACCTTCACCTAAAACCAAAAAATAAGGGAAATAAATTTAGTTTAAAAATTATACTTTTAAGCACTTTGCCCGTAGACACTTCATAAGAACTCAAAGCTTGAGATAAATCCGTCCCGCTGTCTTGATAAATTGGCGGGATCTGGTCAACAACAACAAATTTGTTGCAACTCATTACAAAATAAAATATTTTTTTAATTAAAATAGAATACGTAAAGCTTTTCTGAAATAAAAAAATTTTTAGTCATTATTTTTACAAATAACTGTGAAAAAACTTCTTTGTCCCAACGTTTATATAAGAAATATAACAAAGAAAATCAATAAAATTTTAAAATTAATTTGGGCGGTAAACATTATGCCAAATTAAAGTAAAAAAATTTCAATTCAAATTAAAGTTAATTTCAACTCTCGAATAATTTTCAAAAGCTGCTAGCAATTGTGATATCGTTTTCATTACTATATTTTCCAAGAGTTAGGAATGTGCAGACTAAAAGACAATCGTGATTTCGGAAAATCGGGCTACATATAAGTGTATACCCCCAATTTCCTGATACATAAAGTTCCGATACGAATTACCATTTGTATTTTTGGACCAGAATTATGGTTTGTTTAATGTAAAAGAAATTCATGCTTTTAATACAACCAAAACAGTGCATGTTGAAAACATTGCATTCTACATATTTAATTCCTAAGACCATAAAGTAGGCGGCGTTGTGTAATGGATAACAAATCAGTCCGGTCTACTGAAGAGTCCGGTCTACCGTTCTGACTAGCTGAATCGAATGACAACAAAAATCAGCTCGATTTGTTATTCTGGACAAGTTATGACTAGAATTAATTTTTAATTATTTGGAAAGAAAAATTTTTTAGTCAATAACTAGTTGTGCCCATTGGGGTATGGCGGTAAGTTACGTATGCACTGGAATTTAATAGGCCGAGCGTTTGGTTACGATACTTTTGCCCGATGGAAAGCCTAACGGCTTTGGGGCGCGCTTCGCGCGCTGCTAGAAGGTTTTTTTCTGCTATATTAAATAAAAAGCCTTGGAAATCTCGTCGGGCCTTCGGCCCGCCGCGTTTAAAACTTCTTGTCCCTCTCGAATCATTTTGGGGTGGATCTTAAGCTCGGGCCTTCGGCCCTCGCGACTCATTTTGAGCTGGATCTTAAGCTCGGGCCTTCGGCCCTCGCGTCCCATTTTGATATGGTCTTAAGCTCGGGCCTTAGGCCCTCGCGATCCATTTTGGGATGGATCTTAAGCTCGGGCCTTCGGCCCTCGCGATCCATTTTGTGATGGATCTTAAGCTCGGGCCTTCGGCCCTCGCGATTCGTTTTAGGATGGGTCTTAAGCTCGGGCCTTCGGCCCTCGCGATTCGTTTTGGGATGGATCTTAAGCTCGGGCCTTCGGCCCTCGCGATTCGTTTCGAAATGGGTCTTAAGCTCGGGCCTTCGGCCCGCCGTTTGGGGGCCTTCGGCCCCCTAACCACCCACACCCAAAACTTCGACCTTTTGTAACTTTTGTCAAAATGGTCAGAAAATTCCAGAAAAAATATTTTCGTGCTCAGTTCGATGAGAGCTTTAGATTGATATAGCATTTGCCCTATTTTAAGTCATTTTGGAAAAAATAAATTTTTGGCCGAAAATTTCGACGAAAAATTTACGTAATTTTTCAAAAAATCATAACTTCCCAAAAATAAACCCTTTTGAAACATTTTAAAAGCTTAATATATAGTAAAAATTCTGCTCAATTTTATAAAAATATATTCAACCACCCTCAGCCTCGATATACTCCAAAAAATTTCAAAAAATCGAAAAATTTTGAATTTTCAAAAAATCGACCCTACCAGGCCTCGGGTCAAATATTTCAAAAATTTAAATAGCTCAAAAAATTTGTAATTTTTTGCTCTATTTTATAACCTTTAATACGTCAAAAATCAACAAAGTTACAGTCGATTTAAATTTCACCAAAAAATTTCAAAAGGGGTACCCCTTCAAAAATGGGTCAAAAATTCGACCTTGAGAAAAATATATTTTATGGTACTCCAAAGGGTGCTGAACACGAATCTAAAGTCCGTTTATTTTTAAAAATTTTTAAAAAAAAGTTATACCCAAAAAACCGACCACTTTTTGCCCCAAAAATGCCACTTTTTGCCCTATAACTTTCCCAGACTCAAGTGTACCCCCAACAAAATATATATTTTTAGAGGTTTCAAGGGACGCTCTACAAGATAGGATACTCAAATCGAGTTTCAATTCACGCGTTAAAAAGTCGGTTTTGGCGAGGTCACTTTGGTGCCCATAACTATGTCAGGAAAAAATCCCAGACTCAAGTGTCCCCCAACAAAATTGTAGTACATTTAGTGCCCTATTATACCAAAAAGAGTTGAAACCATTTGCCCTCTCTTAAGCAATTTTATAATTACATTCGATGGGAGCCACCCTTCCCGATAGGGGTTCTGGACATTTTGGACCTTTTGAGTCTCATAACTCGGTCCCAAGCGGTCAGAAAAATTTGAACCAAATTTTCCCAGAACCTACTCATGGAGCTCTATCAAATGGCATATAGTTTGAAAATTGTCGGTTAATTTCGTCGGACACCATGGGTCATTTTGGGACGAGATGTACAATTTTTAGCCAAGGCCACAGCCTCAGGCGTTGATCCCAGGCCTCCCAAATTTTTCCTACGATATAGTACACATTCTGACTTAGGGCCCTCGCCCCAACCACTTTTTGATTCAACTTTACCCCTCCCCGCTATTTCCATTTGAAAAACCACACATGGCCGTTTCAGTGCGAAAACGACGTTTCAGTGCCGAGGTCATAATTTTCCTGAATAGAGCGCAAAAAGTTGCAGGACAAATCCACCTTTGAAAAAATTCCTCGGCCTTCGGCCGGGGCGCAGGACTTTTTTGAAAGGATTTTACCCCCAAAAATAGGGACAAGTTGGGGTTTTTTATATAAGTATTAACTAGTTGTGCCCATTGGGGTATGGCGGTAAGTTACGTATGCACTGGAATTTAATAGGCGAAGCCTTTGGTTACGATACTTTTGCCCGTTGGAAAGCCTAACGGCTTTGGGGCGCGCTTCGCGCGCTGCTAGAAACGGTAACATTTGCTCTGCCTTTTCATTGCTCCGGGCCTTCGGCCCTCGCGATTCGTTTTGGAATGGATCTTAAGCTCGGGCCTTCGGCCCTCGCCGGTAAAGTTATTAATTGCCTTTTAATTGCTCCGGGCCTTCGGCCCTCGCGATTCGTTTTGGAATGGATCTTAAGCTCGGGCCTTCGGCCCTCGCGATTCGTTTTGGAATGTATCTTAAGCTCGGGCCTTCGGCCCTCGCGATCCATTTTGGGATGGATCTTAAGCTCGGGCCTTCGGCCCTCGCGATTCGTTTTGGAATGGATCTTAAGCTCGGGCCTTCGGCCCTCGCGTTTCGTTTTGGGATGGATCTTAAGCTCGGGCCTTCGGCCCTCGCGATCCATTTTTAGATGGATCTTAAGCTCGGGCCTTCGGCCCTCGCGACCCATTTTGGGATGGATCTTAAGCTCGGGCCTTCGGCCCTCGCGATCCATTTTGAGATGGATCTTAAGCTCGGGCCTTCGGCCCTCGCGATCCATTTTTAGATGGATCTTAAGCTCGGGCCTTCGGCCCTCGCGACCAATTTTGGGATGGATCTTAAGCTCGGGCCTTCGGCCCTCGCGATCCATTTTTAGATGGATCTTAAGCTCGGGCCTTCGGCCCTCGCGATCCATTTTGAGATGGATCTTAAGCTCGGGCCTTCGGCCCTCGCGATCCATTTTTAGATGGATCTTAAGCTCGGGCCTTCGGCCCTCGCGACCCATTTTGGGATGGATCTTAAGCTCGGGCCTTCGGCCCTCGCACGGCGGGCCTTCGGCCCCCAAACCCCCCACACCCAAAACTTCGACCTTTTGTAACTTTGGACAAAATGGTCATAAAATTTTACAAAAAATATTTTTAAACTCGGCTCGACGAGAGCTTTCGATTGATATAACATTTGCCCTATTTTAAGTCATTTTGTAAAAAATAAATTTTCGGCCGAAAATTTCGACCGAAAAATTTACGTCATTTTTCAAAAAATCATAACTCCCCAAAAATAAACAATTTTGAAACATTTTAAAAGCTTATTATATAGTAAAAATTATGCTCTATTTTATAAAAATATATTCAACCACCCTCGGCCTCGATATACCCCTAAAAATTTAAAAAAACCGAAAAATTTTGAATTTTCAAAAAATCGACCCTACCAGGCCTCGGGTGAAATTTTTCAAAAATTTTAATAGCTCAAAAAATTTGTAATTTTTTGCTCTATTTTATAACTTTTAATTCGTTTGGCTACGACAAAAACTTACAAAGTTATGCCCAATCTAAATTTCACCCAAAAATTTCAAAAGGGGTACCCCTTCAAAAAGGGGTCAAAAATTCGACCTCGAGATAAATATGTTTTATGGTGCTCCAATAGGTGCTGAACACGAATCCGAACACCGTTTATTTTTAAAAATTTTTTAAAAAAAGTTATAGCCAAAAAACCGACCATTTTTGGCCCCAAAAATGCCACTTTTTGCCCTATAACTTTCCCAGACTCAAGTGTACCCCCAACAAAGTATATATTTTTAGAGGTTTCAAGGGACGCTCTATAAGATAGGATACTCAAATCGAGTTTCAATTCACGCGTTAAAAAGTCGGTTTTGGCGAGGTCACTTTGGTGCCCATAACTATGTCAGGAAAAAATCCCAGACTCAAGTGTCCCCCAACAAAATTGTAGTACATTTAGTGCCCTATTATACCAAAAAAGAGTTGAAACCATTCGCCCTCTCTTAAGCAATTTTATAATTACATTCGATGGGAGCCACCCTTCACGTTAGGGGTTCTGGACATTTTGGACCTTTGGCATTCTGTAACTTTGCCCAAAATGGTCAGAAAAATTTGAACCAAATTTTCCCAGAACCTACTCATGGAGCTCTATCGAATGGCATATAGTTTGAAAATTGTCGGTTAATTTCATCGGACACCATGGGTCATTTTAGGACGAGATGTACAATTTTTAGCCAAGGCCACAGCCTCAGGCGTTGATCCCAGGCCCCTCAAATTTTTCCTACGATATAGTACACATCCCAACTTAAAATCCTCCCAGCAAGCACTTTTTGATCCAACTTCAGCCTTCCG